GAGCCTATCTTAACTCAACAAATGAGAGCAAGAGAAACCACTAGTTTAATTTAAAAGAAGAACAGTGCTCAAACCTGGCAACCGGCCCGTAGATTCACTATTCATACAAAGGAACAGCTACTTCAAGACTTGGTTTTGGAATTGTAGGCTTCAGTTTGTCATTCAGTTCAACAACAATGTGCTGTTAACATTTAAAAAGGTTTTAAAAAATTACAAATACATTTTTCCCAGTGTGATTCCTTTTAGTCATTTTTGCATCTTTGTGTGTTTGTTTACGGTGCATTTCAACCATTTGTCTTTCAAGTCAAGTCAAGAATCTTTATTGTCATTATGCATAGCACAATGGAATTCCTTCAGGAGTCCAGTATTCTATCTGTATCTGCGCCCAGTCAGTAACCCATCCACGGCCGTACACAACAGTTATTTTCTCTTTTGTCCCACCTGTTTATCTCACTGGCTTATCTGCTAAAACACACACCCATCTCACGCTGCAGATAGAATTCCATTAATTCAATGGAGTCAATTTATGCTGAATCTGTGAGGTGTGTGTCTCACGTAGAACCCTCGTAATTTTTTAAGCTTCATTTTTTCCCCTCTGCTGCGTTTAGTGAAGCGTAATCTCCACAGTCAGCTGTTTAAATTAAACTAATCCTGTTGTGTTCTGCAGTTTCACTTTAATGCTCTGTAACGAGTTGAGGGAAATCAATAAAACCTAAATCCATAGTCTACATAAAAACACAATGTCTTCCTGATCTTACTGTACATGAAAACCATTTTTGCCCAGTACACTGCTGTTGTTGGTTGGCCTGGTAAAGACTCTGTCCCACTGCTGTCCTGTTATCAGACAGACAGCTGTTCTGAAGACTTTAAACACAGAACCACCAGCTCACATCTCGCTTCCAGTGTGTTTTACCAGTAACTCTAATAAGAGTCTTGGGCACGTGGAAAATATATTTTTTTTTTGTTGAAAGATGACTAAGAAGGCAAGATAAATATTGCTATTGCTTTGTGTCCTTTTAAAAACTGCACCAGCCTGTAGAGAAATGAAATGGTCTACTGATATTGTTATGTTGCACTGCATTATTGCAGATGAGGTGTTCTGATGCCTGGATCAGGTACCCTGGTTTCACTTTGGCTCACTAGAGAGACTGGACTTTAGAAAAGCTTTGTGCTGTTGAGGTCACAACTCCTCAGCTGTTTCCCTGTGGACTGAACATGAGCTCGACCGGGCCGTCAGTTCAGACTTGTCATTTTATAACAATTTTTCCACTCATATGTTTAATTTATACCTGCTTTATGTGATTTGTATCAACCTGTCTAGAAATATATCATTTAAGACTCAAGACTCAAGATTTTTATTTGCATTTATGCATAAACAGACAGTCTAGGCATATAGGAATTCTTGTGCAGCTCTCCTCTGGAGTCAGGTGAGGAGTCAAAAGCCAGAAAGAACACTTAGTCTTAAAATAAAGTTATGTAAGAATTACATAGTATAAAAACACATTAAAGATAAAAACGCAATGCAAAAATTAAGATAATAGATAATGGATGAGATGGTGAACTTCAAATATTACATATTGTATATTACATAGTATTTCACATAGTGGAGTTGGATATGGTATTTTACTTAGTAGGGTAATGAGGTGTTATTGCATCTGTTTTTCACATTTTCCTATTTGCCATCAGTCGTACTGCAGCTGGGAAAAAGCTGTTGTAAAGTCTAGTTCTGTGTGTGATGATACTGTCCATCCTGCTGTGCCTGAGGCTGTAGGTGCAGTTTTTGTGTCTGAGCAGAGTGAGCTGGGTGGCGTGGACCTCTGATTATGTTCTCTGCCCTTTTACGACAGCGCTGTGTGTACAGTGTGTCCATAGCAGGCAGTTCAGTCCCAATGATCCTCTCTGTAGTCTTTATGACCCTTTGAAGAGCCTTGCTCTCTGTCTCTGTGGTGTTACCACCCCAGACTGTGAGATGCCAGTGGTGAGGATGCTCTCTACCAGTCTTCTATAAGTCTGGGTGAGAGGGCGATGCAGCTTTTCTGAGCTGCCTGATGAAGAATAGCTGCTGCTGGGCTTTCTTCACTGTGGCAGCTGTGTTCAGTGACCAGCTCGGGTCAGATGTCACCTGCAGGCCCAGGAACTTGTGGCTGTCAACCCTCTCCACCTCAGTCCCTTTGACGGTCAGAGGCAGCAGAGGGGAGGGGTTCTTCCTGAAGTCTACTATTATTTCTTTTATCTTGTTTATGTTCAGGATGAGGTCATTCTCCTCTCCATAAACAAGAATGACTCGTCTCCCCCCTTGATAAGGCCCAGAATGGTGGTGTCATCAGCATATTTAATGATGATGGTGTTGTCATAGTGGAGACACAGTCGTGGGCATACAGGGTGAAGAGTTTGGGGCTGAGACAGCAGCCCTGCAGTGAACCTGTGCTGATTGTGAGTTCAGCAGACACCCTCCCTCCCATTCTGACCACCTGTGGTCTTTCAGTCAGGAAGTCCAGAATCCAGTTACAGGTGGGAGTTGGTACGCCAAGGTCTGTCATCTTCCCAATCAGCCTACCTGGGCGAATGGTGTTGAATGCAGAACTGTAATCCAGGAAGAGCATCCTAGGATACGTACTGCTGTTGTCCAGGTGTTTCACGGTATGGAATAAAGCCAGAGCCGTCGTGTTGTCCACTAATCTGTTGGGGCGGTAGGCAAACTGGAGGGGGTCTACAATGTCTGGGACCATGTGGTTAACGTGTGTGAGGACCAGTTGCTCTAACCACGTCACGGTGACTCATGTGAGCGCCACTGGCCTGAAGTCATTCAGAGTGAATGTGTCTGATGTCTTAGGGACCGGTATGATAATGGATTTTTTTTGAAAATGTGAGGAACTACTGCTTGGATTAAAGACAGGTTGAAGATGTCTGTATACACACTAGCTAGTTGATCCCCACAGGCTCTCAACAGTCTAGGGGGGGCAATCCAGGGGGGTCCAGAGGAGAGGTCCGAAGAGGAAGAACACACTAGAGACGGCAGAGCAGGATAACGACTAGGGTGCTAACAAGGACTAGAGAGAACAAAGACAATCTTAGCATAAACTTGATAAAACAACATAACAACCACTGGCCTGAAGACAGAGAAAGAACTGGCAGGGGAGTGACTGGTGAACAGTGTATAAGTATGGAGGAGACTAATGAGGTGCAGCTGGTGAGTAATCAGGGAAGCGGGGCAGGTGTGTTGAATAGTGTAATCAGTGCAAGGGCTAGGCTAGTGTGAGGAAGAAGAAGAGAGGAAGGTGTAGCTGGGCAAACCTGACAGAATGTGTCTGATGTCTTAGGGACCGGTATGATAATGGATTTTGGAAAAGCCCCCAGGTCGCGGGGGGGTCTGTGTTCAGCCTGTCAAACCTAGCATGGAAGTTATTAAGGCTGTCTAGGAGGGTGGAGTCCTGGGGGGCTGTGTTTGTCAATTTGTTCCTGTAGTTTGTGACTGCCTGGATTCCCTGCCACATACTGCTTGTGTTGTTATTTGTGTAGTAGCTCTCCAGTTTTTGGGAGTATGCTCTCTTTGCAGCTCTGATGGACTTCTGTAGCTCATACCGGGCTTTCCTGTACTCCACTTGGTCCCCTGACTTAAAAGCCTTTCGTCCCTTCCTGATTTTCTGTTTTATATCCCTATTAATCAAACCAGGGTTTTTGGTTGGGGAAAACACACACCGTTCTAGCTGCTGTGCATATAGATGTGTGTGTCCAGCTGATGTAGTCACTCACAGTCTCTGCATATTCATGGATGTTGTCTGTGGCCCCTTTGAAGATGTTCCAGTCTCCGGCCTCTAGACAGCCCTGTAGGCTGGCCTGTGCACAGTCGTTCCAGGTGTTAACAGTTCTCACTGAGGCTGGTTTCGCCTTGAGTCGTGTGGTGTCAGCAGGTTTGAGCCAGATTGCTAGGTGTCAGATCTACCAAAATGAGGCTTAGGTTCAGCTGAAAAAGCATTTCTAATGTTACTGTAACATTGGTCCAGTGTTTTGTTTCCTCTAGTAGGAAAGGTTCCAAACTGATACACTTTAGGCTTTTCCTGAGATTGTAGTGGTTCAAATTGATCATGTTGAGCAACTCTTTGAGTGCAGCCTCCTCCCTGGACGAACGAGGGACATACACCACACTCACATACATTGCAGTTCTCTGGGCAGATAAAATGGCCTTAGCTTTAGTGTTAAATATTCCACGTCTTCAGAAAATCATTTGGAGATAATCTTACAGTCTGTGCACCAGGAGTGTTTGCCGAAGGCGGCCTTTCCTTCTCCACGGGTCTTGCCACTTTCTGCGGCTTGTTGTTATTGGAAGAGCTCCCTGCCAGGGGTCAGCCTGGCCTCATGTCGACATAGCATAGCATATTAGCTCTGGGTGAGAGTCCAGTGTACTGGGGTCAAAATCTCCAAAAAGACTGCGCTCTCTTAGCAGTAATAAAGTCACTCGGTCATAGATAATGTTTGTTTGTTTACTGTTGCCTTAACATGGCACAAATAAGCAAGAAAAAGACAAAAGAAAAACAACCTGACTGAGTGAGCTGTGATGTCGCCCGTAGGGGAGCGCCATCTTGGACATCTAACTTACTATGGTTGTTGTTCACTGCCTCTAAAATCTCTTTTCCACTGCTGTTCAATAAGCAAAGCACAAAATGTAAAGACAGAATTGGTGGAGAATGTATTTTCTCCATGTATAATGGAGCTAGGCTAAAAGTTACCCCTGCTTTCAGTCGTTGTGCTAAGCTAAGCTGAACACGAGGTCTCTCTCTGCTGGAGACTGCTGCTCATTCATTCGATTCCCTGTGAGTTTCACAGCTAACAATGGGACACACCAGCGGCATTCCAGGTTTGTCACAACGTAGAGTACCTCCATCTACAGCACAAAAGTCAAGTGATGTCTAAGTGCAACCTCTGACCTCAGCTCAACACCATCAGCTGCTGCAGTTCTAGGCCAAACAATAAGGACTCGAGTCAGGTTCTGTGAAATTTACCAGAGAAGAAGTTCTTGGCTCGCAGGTAGCTGACGCTCAGGCGGAGGATGGAGAGTTTGTCCAGGCTGGCGGTGACTTCCTCAGGAAATGGCAATAGGCTGGCCAAGCGCTCCAGCTCCCCATTCAGCCGGTCCCGGTGTCGTTTGGAGGGATTGGATTTGGCTCCTTCCACTGGGGGCTGCTTCACCCTGACCAACATTACAACAGAAGAGAGAGTTCACAACAAAAATGCCATATGCCAATAAAACAGTTGACAGTGTGGACTTTCTTTAGGCTCCTCTCCCGTTCTCAGACTCTTTATTTGGAGGACACTTTGGATCAAACAATAAATTATAATGACACGGTGGTTTTATAACAAATTTGGGGATTCAACTGTTAAATCCTGTGATCACAGTAAATATTTTTTGAGATCGCTATACCAAATATGGGGATTACACCACACGGGATCAAACAATGAATTATAATGACTTGGTGGTTTTATAACAAATTTGGGGATTAAACTGTTAAATCCTGTGATCATAGTAAATATTTTCTGAGATCGTTATACCAAATATGGGGATTACACCACACCACTGCTGAGGGCACTTCAACAAATGTTGTGATTTGATCTATAAGAAAGTTAGAAATGGTATGTTACAGTACTTTGTGCTTTCTGAATTCACTAATGTAAATTATAAGAGCATCTTTTTAATCATATTTTTTTCTGGTTACATGCCTACAGTGTCATTTTCAGCTGCTCAACGGCATATTGCTCCAAATTTGCCTTTGGGTTTTTGTGTGAAATGATTACAGCAGATTTTATTTACAGTAACCTCTGTCACCAGAGGCTCGAATATACTAAGATGTCAATAAAGTTTGGAGAAATGTTTTAAAGTGATGCATAAATATTTGATCCTGAATAAGCATCACAAAGCAAAGTAGATTTTCATTTCTTCAGAATCATCCCATTTTCCCGGGTGTCAGCTGACATTCTCCACAAGACAAAGGAAGCGGATCATCTGGTCAGTGTTTCACTTCACCTGCTGACAGCGTCTTCCTGGCAGGTGTTTGTTAATGTCTGTGTCAGTGGATTCATGTTCAGTAGTAAATTTCTTCATAAAACAAAAAACTTTCATCCAATTACAGAACACGATAACTTTTATTCTTAATGTAGTTTTTTTTTAATCGTACCCGTATTTAATTCACCTCTAATTGTAAAGTATTGTGCCTCACTAGAGTGTGTGATATTGCATTAGTGATGACTGCTTCAAAGAAAAACTATAAACATTTCTTCTCCAGTCAGAAAGATGTAGATACAAATAATGTCAAATGCTAAAAGCCATTAAAATGCCTTCAAAATACAAAGAAAAAATTATTCTACCACCTCCATCTTGTTTTTTTTTATCTGTTTTCAAAACTGTCTAATTATGTTTTGTGCCCTAATGCTACACACAGGAGGTTGAATGTGTCTCAAACTAGAGCACAGCAATGAAATCCAGTCATCCATTAGTCTATTTGTAGTAAAACCAAACCACGTTTTGTTCAGATGACAGAGGTTCTGCAACGTTTTAATCATCTCTGAAACACAAGCTTTATCTGAAACAAAATAGAAATCTGGAAGGTAAAGTTGACATACGATTTCCATCATGGAGCAAAATGTGACTGAACCACAGACTTTAGTTTAAAAGTTTAAGTTTAAAAAGCCACAAATAAAACAAAGAAACCCAGTTTATTCAGTGATGGAGGTGTCTACATATGTTCAGCAGAGAGAACAACAACAGTCAGATACCTCTATTCATTTCTACCCACTTATTCTTTTGTATTTGTAGATTCAGCTTCATCCATTATTTCCACAGGCTGCTCTCTTACGACTGAGGCATTACAACAGTGAGATTTTCTATTAGCAGAGCAGTCACAGCCTGTCAAAGAGGTTCAGGGCCCTGCACAAGGCCTCAGAATACATTCAAGGATTAACAAGATGAAAAGTGACTAAAAACTCATTTCTGCTACACAAATGTTCTGTTGTTGCGGAAAGTGTCACTTCTCCCTGTGTGTTAAATGAGAAGAATGTTTTGATGACACACAAATAGAGAACATCAGCACTGTAGGAGCAACCTGAGCTGACAGCCCCCAGTGTAGCTGTTCCCAACTCGCATGCTGTCACGTTTTATCACAGAGCATCAGTGTGGATGGACCGAGGTCTGTTTACACCGCACATCACTGACGGGGGGGTCACTGCATGTGACCCGACCACTGGTCTGTCTGTGAGGAGACTAAGGTTTGTCCAGTAACTGTTTAATCATGTGTATGAGGCGTTTCCAGATACAGTGGTGTCTATTTAATCTGATCAGAAGACCCAACACTGCTCATGGTGGGGTCACTGGGATTAATTCTTCTATTAGAACTTATTTCATTAGTAAAGTACAGCAGCTACTTATGGACACATCTGGTGGAGTTTAGGCCTCAGCCTGAGAACAAGCTCCTGTCCTGCCGTCACTGCTGTGCACAGTTTGGCCTTTTGGAAAGTTACTCCTGTGACAGGCACATGGAGTCAGTCTGACTCACAGTCGCTGTAGTATTCTGACTTTATAAAGGGCATCGCATTGTCTTTCGTCCGGATCGTCACAGTTGAACATTTGATCGAATATTTCTGCTGAAAAAAAGACGTTTGCATGCGTTGGTCACGTAAATTAAGAAAAGTCGAGGCCGGTTATTTTTATATTGCGACTTCAGCCAAAGAAGAATTTATCAAACCCAAACATTACATATCCTACACCCCCCCAAAAACAAACACCACAAAACAAATGGTCCTTCTGATCCCCTGAAGGGCGTTGACACAAAAATGGCGCAGCTCCTGTAACAAAAAACAAAAAAAACAAAAACAAAAAACAAATAAAAATTAAAAATTTAATTTCAATAAAAAAAAAGCCTGGCTGCATTTTCTTATCGTTATTTTGCGGAATTTGCCAAATGAGCTCGGTGAATAACAAGCAATGAGCGCAGCGCTGAAGGGTTAAAACCAGGCCGCGGTTCCAGGCCTGCGCTAATCCGCAGGCGTCAAACCAACCATGCGCCTTCCACAACGCACGGAACATCTCCTGCTTATGCTTTAATAAAGAAGCTCACGAAAACAATTCCCAAGTATAAATGTTCAGCACTCACATGCGCATTAAAAGAGATAACAGCCGAGTTAAAGAGGAGAGAGCTACAGGTCACTGCGCAAACATAATGAGAGTCTGTCCAAGCAAAGATACATGAATGTCAATGAAAATGAATATAGTTATGTTCTATATGGATTATTCAAACTAGCTGCATGTGCATTTGAAAACACCACGACACTGACTCGCAGTCGTGCACTTTAATGCGAGTTGATTTTCAGTCAGTGAAGTCGGAACTTCACAATAAAATAAACCAACTTACGCTCTCTGGACTGGTTTTCTCCTCTTGCGTCCTGCATACATGACGGTCCTGCTTATAGAAGGAATCCTTCTCAGACACACCGAGCTTCTTTCTCCGGATGCCAACAACAACTATTCGGCTATGATCCTCCACATCGACGCTTTAAACACAATCTAAAATAATCTGGGCTTGGAAACGGATTTAAAATAAAATGTGGGCACACAGAAAACGAAGTGTGGTCGAACAGAGGGAATTATTCTGCCAGGAAGAAAAACAGAGGAGAACAAGTTTGGAGAAACAACCAAACAACTGCTATCCGCCTAACGGGACGAAGAACCTGCTCCAATAAAACAGCGTTGGCCACTTTTCATCCTTATAATCATTTTTTAAAAGCTGCGATCAGGAGAGAAGCGGCGCAGCGTGCGCAGTCCCCCTCCTCATCCTCATCCTTCCTCCTGTCCAGCAGAGCACATTGGAACATTCACATTTTCTAACCACCATCAGCGGTGCGCTCCAATTAACGCGGACAGCGGGGGCGCGCATTCCACTGGCGGGCACGCTGGACAAAGATTTATGACCGGTGCACGTTCAAGACGCTCAGCTAAGGCACGCAGGATGAGTGCGCGTGGGAGAGTCTCCTGGAAACACAGCCCGAGCGTGTTCGCGCAGGCGCGCTCCCGTGCGGGTCCCCCCGTCCAATCAGCGCGCAGATGGTGGATGTATGTGCCAAATGTGGGCCAGAGATTAAACCATGGAGCTGGATTCATTTCAGCATCTCAGCCATGGGAGCTAAACAGGACAAAACACCCACCATCAACACTAAAAGTATTGTTATATGGTAAAATACTACTAATCATAAAAAACAGCAATATAATAATAATATGACGTAGTAGTAGTAGGCTAAAGCCAAAGCTTATCAATATCTTGGTCTAGTCCAGTGACTGTTATATTCCCCTAATGAGTCACAGTCATGTATGGCTTAGTGAGTTACTGGGCTCATGGGATCCGGAGGCCCCTGGACCTGAGTCTCTATAAACTGGCTCTTAACATTTCTTTTTGGAAGTCAAACGACTACTAAGAAACAACAGAAAAGCAAAAATACAAGAAAAACTGTCACAGATACACAAGTGATTCAGAACAAGTGAAGAGCCTATGAAGAGAAGCAAAATGGCCACAAATAAATATAGACTCGAAACGAGTCAGATCACAAAGTGGAACTTCTTTCATTTCCACATTTCACTGTTTAATTTGTTTTTATTTATTTAGTTTCACCTATGGCTCTGAGGGCCAGTTACTGAACTCTTGGGCCAACATCAGTTCCATATTGAACTAATGAACTAACTCATCACACTTAGTAGAGAGCTACAGGAACTAGTGTTTATCAAATAAAATAGTTGTAAGGTGTTTTTATCATGAAAATAACTGTTGGTTGCAGCCTAACTCCCATGATGCAACACCTTGCCTCAGAGAAACATGGAAACAATCTGATACAACACCAGTGTTCAACAAGATTCTGACACAGGGCCACGAGGTGAAAGATGGAGGACAACTTAACAAATGTATGATTAATCCATTTATTTAGACCCGAATACAATGGAACAAACCCGGGGTAGCCTCTGAACAGCTGCCCGCTTTGGCCCACTGGTCCTGGCAGACATACTGTGCACTCAGTTGCCAGTTTATTAGGTACACCTAACTAAAACTAAGTCAGTCTCTAATAAAGTTCGTCTGCAGCCTCCACAATGACACACAGCTGAATGAACACCTCTCCGAAACGGTTTGAACACAAACTGGAAGGAGGATTTATTACAGGACAGCTGGACTAGCCCGACCCAGGTGTACCTAATAAACTGGCAACTGAGAAGGTTATCTGCTCTGTAAAAAATCACCTGACCTGTCTTCCTTTGAGAAAATAAATGGGGGAATGTGTTTTATCGTTTGATTCTAGAAAGCCAAGCACATGTTGCACAAAGCAATAGCACCAGCACTGCATCAGTCACACTGAGCAGCACAGCCACAGACTCACACAGACTGCTGACGTCAGAGAATTAGCTGCTCGACTGCAGCACGTTCAACACGTCAGCCCAGGTCCGCCACCTGCTGTCAATCAAACACAGACACGCCCACGAGGAAAACGAGCATTTCTGACACGTCCTCAAATGCCTTTATTTGTTATGCTTCTTTTTAATAGCATAAACGACATTGTTGTTAGTGTGTTCTTTGTTTATAAAGGGCTCTGTGCACTGGTCTTTGACTGATGTTTAATTCTACCCTTATGTGTAAATCAAATATGGCAGTGATGCAGTAAATTCAGCCTATGAGTCCAAGGGATTCAGTCAGGTTGAAGTCAAAGACGTCTGCATGAGCACCTGGAAAAGCATGCACTGAGTCATATGACCAGACCCAGATGAAGAAAGAAAACTAGTCAGAGCAGACTCAGCTTATGTAGCTGTAATGTTTTATTTCTACAGTAGACCTTTGGCATATTGTGTGAATATTTTTGGTACAGTACATATTTGATTAATGGGCACAGTACATCTTTTTCATTTATTCTTACCTCAGCCCATATCATTTATTGATCTGATCCATCATCTAGTTGTTTCTGTATGGCTGTCAAAAACACTTATTTGTGCAGCACCAAACCCACTCGACTTTAAGAGTGTATATCTTCTTTGCCTGTATTTACCACCACTGAAATCCCCGCACGCCTCTGAGAGCAGGGTTTGGGGCAAAGAAGGGCTCTGCGTTTGTTTCGACACCATGCGACCCATGGGACAGTTGCCACAACAGCTGTAAATGTATTTTTCATGCTCCAAGCACAGTAGGATGTTGAAGAAAAAGAGGTCAGGTCTTTCCAGTCTCTCTGCTGGTCAAGGTCATCCCGGGCACCGTGCACTCTGCAGGAGATTTAGACTGGAAGGAACCAACCACGCTTGCACGTATAGACTGTTACTCTGTGCTTTATGTCAGAAGCACTTACTCATCTGTGTTTCAATGCAAGGTTGAATAAATAGCAAATTGTGCATGGTGAAATGTTTCAGTGGCCACTGCTCTTTGGCTCTTTATAGACCTCCTTCCTACAGCAGCAGGATGTGATGCTCTACACACTCACCATGTGGAGCCATGTTGGATTAGACACAACCCAGACCGAAACTGAGTGAGCTGTGGTGTTCATAGGCTTTTAACAATGTTTATGCCCTAACTGGAAATCACAGGTGCAGTAGTGTGTAAAGCGTGTACACTAAACTATAGTATATAACTCAATTATAACGCCAGACGAACACAGGTAAAGTATAGATTCTTTACTAGCAATACAAAACAAACAGAACAAAAGTCCAGAATCCAAATCAGGTCACTATTCCAATCCAAGGTCAATGCCGGCAAACACACACATCTGAGGGAGCCACAAAAGGAGGTCAGAGAGGAGATATCTGAGGTTCGGGGGGAGGATTAGGCAAAGAATGGTGGTCAGTCCAGGGTCAGAACAAGTGAATCATTAACAAGAATAATCGCTGGAAAGTCAGAGCTGGGGTCCAGAACAATCTGGGAACTTTCCGGTGGAGGGAAAGCTGCTTATATCGGGGTGAAAACAGGTGTAAACAATTAAGTGCTGATTAAAGTAAAAGCCCTGTAACTGAGCTACGGCTAAACAGGAAGTTACGTCAAAACAAAAGCATACAACCGGAACCAGGCAGAACAGAACCATGACAGCGTGATTCACCTTAGGACAACAAACTGGCCTGAATGTTATTGTGCAGCTTTTAAGAACATCACTTTACAGAAGTGTGTGGCAGCCATATTTGCTTCACTTCATCAGTATAAATACAATCTAATAATTGTGTTAAGACCAGATTCTACAAAAATCAAGAATGTTGATGAAGAGCCACTACTTCATATTTATACTTTCTGCAGTTTGTTGTGCTGATAAAACACTTTTTCTTTGTGTTTACAGTGAAACACTGTATATGAAACCTGATACCTGAAAAGCTGTTGATCATTTTTTCAAAGGCTATTAAAAAATACATGTTTATATCAGTAATGCTTGCACATTTGTCACCTATCAACTCTTCCATTATGCTGTAATTTCTTTTAGTCAAAATGTTACTGATGGAACTGTTCTTATCAGTAAGAATGTTGCCTTGCATATGCACAGTATTGTGCAGTCAGTGCAGGGTGAGGGTGGGGATAGTGAGCCCCCTGGTGGACATAAACCAACTCCAACCGTGTTGTTTCCTCCCCTTCCTCTGTCTATGCATCCTCACCTACGCTGAAAAAACAGGAATAATGTTACAGTTGCCACTGATGCTCTTATTCTTGTTGCCAGCTGAGGATTATTTTTATTATTATGAAAATTATTTCCTCAAATAACACTGTGGTCTCAGAGTGAAAAGTTCCCATCACGGTTTCCTAGAGTCCAATGTGACAGAAACAATTAGTCAATAATACTAAATGTGCCAAAGAATGGGAGAGACTCATATGGAAGCTCATTATATGAGTTAAAATATGTTTACTCTTATTTGGCCTCATAGAGGGGGATGTCAGGCCGTGCCATTATAAATCTCCAGAGTCCCACAATGAGCAACACCATTTTCCAGACCTAACACAAAGCATCCATGAACCCTGTCCTCATCCAAGCAAAGAGCAGATATGTGGCTTGACACACAGCATCTGCATTGTATTTGCTCAGGTTAAGCAGTGGCTGGTCCATCTAGCTTGTAACAGCAGTCACCTCTGAGAGGTGGGTCCGCTCAGATGTCCAACCACTGACACCGTTCAACCAAGAATGTCTAACAAAAGAAGACTATTAACAGTGAGTCTGTAGTTATTATCAGCAACACAAGTTCTGTGTGGGTGTAGGAGTGAAGGCAAGTCTACAGGGCCATCAGGTGGACATCCACTCACTAAGTGGAGTTTGTTCAGTTTATTATCACATAAAATAAATTATAGCACTAAACTAGGAATATGAACCTCTGGAACGTTTGGGTTTTAAATGATTCATTCTAAATATAGTTGCATACTGATTTTGTGATACTGTTTCTACAGCAGCCCTTTCTTTAACATCCCCATCGGATGCAGTGACCAGTCAATAAACAGATTTCCTGGTAAAAAGCTTCCACATACAGCTATGCTACTCTTATTAACACCATGGAAGGTGTTTCTGCTCTCTGTACCTACAAACTGTGGAAGGAAACCAGCCACTGGCCCATTGACAGCATAATAACCTGATAATGTGCCCTGTCCTTGTTTAATAAGTGTATCAATGCCTTCACTTTGAGTTTCTTTCAAGTAACCCTTCATCTACAAGACACTACAGCCAATTATGCTCACATCACATAATGTACGTTGCTGACAAAAGAACACATTGTCAGAGTAGATCGAACACTAACAGAAACAAACTTTTACCTTATTAATATGCACACCAAAATGTCATCAGATCATTCAGCTGTGGTGTACCGTTTCCACTATGTCACAAGACGACACATTGCCCTGCACTATGTTGGCAGACAGGTCTCATGTTGTGCCTGTAGCTGCTGCTCTGCTGTCTCAAACCAATGACAATCAACACTCATCTCAGCCTTTTTTAAATACTTGAGCAAACAACGGAGCTATCTGTTCACTCATCTCTGTCTCTTAACGCTTCCCACTAGTAGCAGGACTTGAGGGGAAGTGAGGGAGGCAGGGAAATGATACCATGGTCCAACAACCTGAAGATGAAATGTAAGGTCTTGCAATAAGAATAAAGCGGTCCATGCTGTCCCACGATTATTGCTGAAAACTGCTGGTTTTGCTGCAGACATCACCAAACTTCCCTGAATGTACAAATAAAGTTTCATCTAATCTTCAGCGCTGACTTTAGAATAAAATGAGCCAAACACAATGTTAACCTTTGCACATGTATATTTATGAAAAAGCACTGAACGGTACATAAAGCGTGATTATTTGTTTAACATATATTATGGTATAGATAGTAAAACTACTTGGCTTAATAAAAGTGGTTTACATTGAACTGTTGATTTTTCTTTTTCTTATACAAATAACAGAAAAGATACTTAAAGCTAGTGTAAAAACATTGCTATGAAAAAAAAATGGCTCCAGAGTTTTCTTAGTGGCTGCAGTCATCACATCTGTATCAACGTCCAGCATCGTGTGGTTGGTCGTCCTCCACAGACTGAGTCACTCTGAGATACTTGGCAGGTGGAAGACGTGAGGCACGTTCATCTGTGCCTCAAGACTTTAGGCTTTTCTTTAAGATTCCACTTAGAAGTGTTTTTTTTAAGTTATTTTAAATGGTTTTTCCAAAAACATACACAACAGATTCATCAGGAAAGGTCAAATACTGAGTGATGCACAGTAAAGCTGCCATGATGCTTTTCCTGCTCAGTGAATCCAAACTGTTCATGTTATTGTTGTTGTAGTGTGAATATTACAAACATATGGAGAAAATCAGCAAAAGGAGCCAAAATACACAGAAGAGCATAAACAAGAAGCAGATATGATCTTAAACACTATAAGACCAGTTAATATCTCCACATTATCAATTACGAATATGCTGCTTAGTACATTTTCACTGTTCATCAGTGACAGAAACATCACCATCTCTTCACAGCTGAAGTTTAAGTGTTTCCCCTTGTTTCCACTGTGTGATGCGCCACAGACTTCCTCAGCCTTGAAATACACTTTACCACGGTAACTCTGCATCTCCTATGGATATGGCTTCCCTTAAATTAGCGCAGCTCTAACAGACTGCCTGAGGAAAAATAAAACTACTGAAGAAAATATTCTCTTAATATGCTTTATACAAGAAGGCACAGATATATTCATACAGAGATTTTCAGCTGCCTATTCAACGAGAAGACAATTCTAGGACTATACAGCATATAGCTCAGTGTGGGTAGTGCAGACTGTTCCCATGTGAGGAAATATGGGAGCAGGGAACAGAAAGTTATTTGCTGCACAATCACCTGCAACTGTGGATGGCAGGTGAGAAGCCTGCAGCAGAGTTGTAGGTATGGAGCCTGCCACTCTGATACCCGACGAGAATCGATGCCAAGATACTTCCTGGAAACGGATCATGTTTTGAAGAACGTGTTCAGTTTGCTGTAATCCTGTTCAGGTTAAATTTGCATGATGTCGTGTGGAGGAGGATGACCTCTGACCCATACTCTGATCCTCTGACCCATACTGACACTTAAAGGAGGAATTCATCTGCTGTGTCCAATTTCAGGGACTGCTTCCCACAATATCTGCATTTGAAGAACAGTGCAACATAAAAGGGTGACCTGGGTATAACAATGGCTGTTTAAACACAATGTGGACACAAGTGGTCAACAGGCCATTTCCACCATCAGTTAGTAGATTTAGGGTGTACTCACACTAGATGATCTGCAGCGTGCCCGAGCACGAGTAACCCACAAAGTCCAGTTCTTTTGACTAGTGTGATTGCTTTGTAGCATTCAGCTGCACTCAGGTCACAGGACTGCCCTCCGGCCCTGTTTTTGCCTTAAAAATTGATGAGGAGCACCTGAACGCACCAATAGTTGTGCCCATTGTTGGAGTTAGGGCAGCCCCAAGTTCAGCCTCGCCTGTTAGTCCAACAGTTCATTCTATTTGGTCCCACATTCACGGGCTGCATCATTCAGAGGAGGCAGCCCATGAATCTGGACACAGCTTTCGTCTGCATGGAAATGGACTTTTAGGACAGAACAAGCTAAAACCACATCAGTGTTTGTCTGAAATCAGATGGGCTTCTACTGCGACTCGTAGCCCAGATATCAGATGTTCTTTCTGCATGATTACAGGTCTGAAATGCACGAACTGGTTTCTTCAGTTTCTAATGTTGACAATGCACCAACAGTGAGCAGCAACCTGTCAAAATATCTTTAACTTTTGGTGCTATCGACTTGCTAAAAGCAGGACAGCCATTACCATTAATAAGTAGCAGTACATTCAGATCAACTCAACAACAGAGATGCTTGTTTTCAGGTTTAGTGAACACTTCACTGATATGAAGTGAAGCAGCAGCAGATCAGGATGTTTACATATGTGCAGTAGCAGGAAGCAGAGTGGGTCTGAATCACACGGGCTGTTTCATGATTGTCGATTTTCTGATACACTAACTGTTGGTGTCATTGTCGGGGATCCCTCATTGAAAAGCATTTTCTGTAAAAGCACATTTATTTTGCACACAGTTCAACGCGTATCACATGACCATGCATTCTGTGCATGAGATTGTTGTGAGCCAAAGCAGACCTAGTGACACAAACGCACCTACACACTGAGTTACAGACTGTATTTATACACATACATCAACCATATGTAAGGCTACACCTTATTGTATCTGTTTAATTTGAGGGTGCAGCTGGTTTCATTGAGTATTTATGCTCATTTTTACACTGATGATAACGTCTTTTAGAAAACATCTCCACTAAGACAGGATCCAAAACTGATTAGTTTAAATCCATCATGCTGTTTTGTAGTATTTTTGTGTATTTAAATCTGGGAAATAAATGTCTTTGGCTGAAAATAGGGACATGACAACCATCAGGACTCCCTTATAAAAATATTTCTTTGGCTGTTCAGATTGACTTGGCCGATCCTCTGAGCAAGCTCAAGCTTCATCCTGGGAAATGCACTTGTAGCATTATACTTCATTATTATTATAGTGTATTTTCACTAGAAACTGACAAGACACAGCTTTTCAATATTACAGACCGGACAAAGTAAATATGATACAGAGCGTTATAAAATATATGACAGTAACACGAGGGTAAACATGAGAGTCTGAGGATAAGCACTGATACAGACAAACCATTCTCATGCTCTAGCTGCAGCGACGCCAACACGTCTACATCGTAGGCAGGAGTGGCAAA